CTCAGCCCCGGGGTTTGCCGAGGTCAAGCTTGTGACATTAAGGCATGCTGCTGCAACGGCAGGTGCAGGGTCGCCAGCAGCACCATCGGCTGCAGTTCTTTCATCGCTATTTTGTTTTAATAAATCCTTAGACCTTTTAAGACAATTTCTGATGTCCATTGTGTAATTCAAACATAAATAGGAGTCTACAGAATGCACAATAAACAATAAACAAATCCAGAATAGGCGGGCAGAGTGTGACGCTGTGATTGGTCTAAATGTGGACGATTCACAAATCACAACAGACACATGAATTTATTTGACGTAGCCTGCGATTTTTTGTTTTAGTTACTATCTGACATCACATACATCTTAGCATAAAAGTTCACAGTTTATAAAAAATATATATATTTTTACATTTTTATAAATAATAAAAATTGGTGTTATTGGGGGAGGGCAGGAATGTCAAATGGGAGGGCCTGGCCCTCCAACGGCGCCGGGCATGAGTCAGACAGGAACAGAATGTTGGAGAGGAGCTCGAAAACATGGCAGCCATCCAGTTAACATGTGTGTCCAATAAGGTGACAATATTGGGGTTAAATATTTATAGAATCCGGACAATAAAGTATAATGGCAGAGCGTGAAGGTATTGCACCATCTTGTAAATCTTGCTGTTCCCTCTCTATAACATTTTGTAGAGAGAGATTTAGTTTGTCGTTTTTTACCCTTTAGTTCCTGCTGTTTTGTATCCACACCAGTGGCGAACCGTCAGGGCCTTCAAGGTATTTAGAGAATACCCTGGAACACTCAGATAAAACAAACAAAAAATCGATTTCATTTATAAATAAAATGTATATAAAATGAATAAATGAGAATCGTATCCGTGTTGTTGATCTGTAATATTAGTGTTACGTTGATTTGTTTGTCCTTCTCGGACCATGCACTACGCATTTCAGTGGTTTTGTGTTAGAAAAGAAAGCAACCAATCAGATCTTGTTCTGGGTAGAATATCCTTCAACCAAGGTATTCTACATCCTTGATAGAATGCTCTGGCCGTTGCACTAAATGAGCGTACGTTTGGACTGACAGTTTGATCAACCAATCATATATTGATTTGTAGCCAATGGGCGTATTCTTTCAGTTTCCCTCGGTTCCAGGGTATTCTAGAAGGCCCGCTAGTTAACTGGCTCGAGACAGAGGATCTACTGTAGATGAATGCGATGAAGCAATTCATGCCGTTTTATTGTTTTTAACGTTGAAATGAAAAGTGCCTCAGGTGAAGAGGAAGTAGTTGCGGAATTGTTGTGAGTACCCTTTTCACGACAATTCAGTGATGGACATTATAATGCCGGGGGGGGGGGGGGGGTGTCCTCAGAAGGTTCAGTTGTGAAAGACACGGTTGGCCACTGATCCACACCATTGGTTGGAAGTGAAGTGGAAGTTTGAAGCATGGAGGTGGGGGGATTTGGGTTGAGGTCCAGGGGTGGAGGTAAAGGAGCAGACAGCTAGTTGTTTGTGAATTGTGGCAATTTTGAATTCTAAAATGAGAGGAAAGCGTTGCATTTGTCAGTAGTAAAGGAGTTTGAGAAGGAGTTCATGGGCTTGAGGAGTTTGTTGATGGTGTAGAAAAGTGTTTGGAGTTGGGACCAGATTGGATGATGGAGGAGTAATTGGTGGAGCGAGCGCTGTTGAGTGCATCTATGTTTTGTTGTTGTTGGAGTTTGTAGGCTTCCAGGTGTACATTTGGTCTGTTCTTTTTAGAGAGTTTTTCCAGTTGATGGCACATGGTTTTGACGAATCGTAGTGTCAGTGTACCGGGACCAGAGTGTGTGAAGGAGACAGGTTTGGTTTTAATGGGGGCAATAAGTAACTCTGAATAATCCAACATCAGAAATATGTTATACATTTAGGAAAACATTTGATTAAATAAGATAAATTAGACCAACCTTAACCTGTATAGCTAGCTGGTGGTTTTGACTAATTTAGCGACCTCACAGAATTAATTTGATATTTTATAAAAAAAGATCAACAATTACAGTTAAATCACAAACTTGTAACACACACACACACACACACACACACACACACCACACACACACACCACACCACACACACAACACACACACACACACACACACACACACACACACACACACACACACACACACACACCTTGTTTGATGAAACAGAACTTGTATTTGAAAAGAAAGAAAGGCACAGACAGAGCACTCTCTTTGTGGAATCACTGCTGAACAAGCACAGGGCCCGTCCTCCACACAAGTCATATGTAACTAAGCAACATGTCATCCTATATTTGCACACAACCTGTCCTGCCATACTAGTAATTAGAATGCATAACATTAAAATAATCATTTTAAAATAACAAACGAGCAATGCCTATATTATATATAGACACAACAGCACGGGTAGCAAATCATAAAAATACAACTGTATAAAAATAATCTCTTAAATTACACATAAAGCAGAGAGAAGAAACAAAAAAGGAATGTTTGATGTATAATATGTTCCAGCCTGACAAACAGTGGACTTCTTGTCCATCAATAAAAGTTGCAATGCCACTTCCTATTACTTGTCTTAGCTGTGAGTCACATTTAAGGGCAATGCAAACAATGCATGAGTACGATGGACCAGAAAAATAATACAGTGCTGATCAACGTATCGCAGAGGACTAACATGAAATAGTAAACACATACGTTTTATAAAAATTAGAGCTTTGCCAGTTTCGCTTGAATAAAGTCCTTTTAACAAAACCTCAGTCAACATAAATCGAGACTGTAAAACCGACCACGCTGACCCGACGGAATGACAGTGACAATATTACCTTGGATTATAAATGCAGAAAAATGATCAAACATGAAACTCTCTTCAGTCTGTGCGGACTCTTTAGTGCATTCGGTCCCACAGTTAATACAAAGGTAAAAACAGTCAAAATCAAAAGTGCTTCAGTGACAGAGAGGATAAAGCATAATAAACTATTTAGAATAATGTTTCACACAGGTGGCAAGGAAACCTTTGCCGATAAACTGTCACCTGCAAACCTTCAAAGGAACACCATCTTTTCCATGATCTTGTCCCTACGTATGCTGCAGCATTTTGAATGAAAAATGTTACGAGACTTTTTGGTCCAGCCTGATAATAAAGAGTTACAATAGTCCAGCCTTGAAGTAACAAATGCATGGACTAGTTTTTCTGCAGTTCAAATTAATAAAAACGGACATGTCTTACTTTCAGATGAAGTGCAGCAGAGAGCCTCACCTGGAACTTAGACTCAAACATTTAATGTGACCAAACTAAAGTGTGTATGTTCAGCAAAGCTTGCTCATTTTCTCCATTTTGTATTTGCAAAGAGAAGAACAACAGTTACATTTACTGACAGGTTAAAGCTCTCAGTCCCTACAACCACGTCACACCTGTCCCTCACACTGTCCCTCACACTGTCCTTTTGTCCCTCACACTGTCCCTCACACTGTCCCTCACACTGTTCCTCTGACTGTCCCTCACATGCGGCTTTCACACCAGCGCTTTTCCCTTTCTAGCTCCGACAACGGCATTACGGCGCTCACAACAACAGGGAACTGCGTCGGGTCGATGATCGTGTTGCTTTTAATCACACGAAGCCAGATTAAATTGAATAACAACTTCTCCAACCTTATGCTTTTCTCCAGAGTGCCGTGGTTCATTGTTTATTAATGTGTTTCTGCAGCATTTACCGACCGCTGCAGTGTTGGCTGCTCTTCCACAGGAGTTTATTCTCCTCCGTTAGCTCCGGGTTAGCTCACACTGCAGCGGCCTCTAAAGTATTCACTGTCCGACTCACACAAGCAGCTGATACATATCCCCAGTTCCCCTTAGCCTAAGTGAATGTGTGTCATTCTGAATTGACGCTGTTTGGCATCACAACGCTGTTATGAAAGTGTCTCTGGTATAAAATGGGTGATGTTAGCATAGCAACCGAAGCTAAACTGACTAGTTGCTATGCTATCCTATTGTGGCATAAACCGTTTTCTACAGGCACATTTTACCGGCGTATTTTTATTATGATTCTACTTGTGATAGTCGGACACGACAACCTGTGCAGCCCATGTATTGATTCCATCCGATAGCTGCTATAATACAAAACAAAACGTCTGCCTCTCTCCACAATGATCAATAACAGTGAACGGATGGTCAAAGTAAGGTACAAATAAACAGAATCACACGAAGCCTGGTTAGTGTTGCCTGACTTTATAAAGTGTGTTTATAAGCACTACTGCTTGTAGGCAGGCATGACAGTCGACCCATGTTCAGGGGAGGAGGGTTTAGTTTCCTGCACGCCTCGACGTAAGAGAGACGTAAGCGACGCCACCTCTTAGCTCCGAAGCTCTTGCCTCTAGACCGACCATTTTTTGGAGCTGGAAGTGAACCCGATTCCGGAGCTAAGAGCCGGCGCCGCTGCGGTGTGAACAGGAAAAACCGGCGCTTTTCAGGCTCCGGCTCCGAGCCGGAGCTGAAAAAGCGCTGGTGTGAAAGGGGCAACAGTGTCCCTCTGACTGTCCCTCACACTGTTCCTCACACTGTCCCTCACACTGTTCATCACACTGTCCCTCACACTGTCCCTCACACTGTGTCTCTGACTGTCCCTCACACTGTGTCTCTGACTGTCTAGCTAGCTTTGTTGGACTGGGATTTCTTTATTCTGAATTCTGCTTACCAAGCTCTGATTTGTGGATTGTGTCTCTAGCAGAAACAGCAGACCTGAAATCACTGGAACATATTTCCAGTTTCATCTTTGTGTGACCAGGGAGAAAAACACTGAGAGACTATGAGTACATGGTGGCCACTACAATTCCTGCTGAGACAATACTATCAGTATCAGAGTTAATACTTTTATAGCCTTGCTGCTGTTGCTCACTGTGTCAATGCACAGCAAGAGTACATCATTCAGCTAGATTAGAGGATGTTAGTGTCATGTTAAACATTTATATCAACATGTTAAAGTCAAATATGTTTAATATGTTGTATGACAGTACACCTGGTTCATGTGTCAGGCCGTTAGACGGGAGGCAGGCTGGAGGAGGGTTACTATAGCAGCACTGAGGCGTGTCCTGCTGGAGGAATGGACAGCAGGACAGAGTCTGTGTTGAATGGACAGCAGGACAGAGTCTGTGTCGGGAGGACAGCCGGACAGAGTCTGTGTCGGATGGACAGCAGGACAGAGTCTGTGTCGGGAGGACAGCAGGACGTCCAGCCTCAAACACTGATGCTGTGCTGTCGCAGTTTGGCCACAAGGAACTCGTGGGTTAAATTATGTCGTGTGATTATTCCAACAATCTGAAACAGATGGAAGAAAATTAACAAGAGTCCAGACAGAAAACAAAAGCCTGTGCATAGTGGAATAGCTACAGTAAAATGGTAAATGGACTGTACTTATATAGCGCTTTATCCAGTCTTTACGACCCCTCAAAGCGCTTTACATACTACATGTCATTCACCCATTCACACCCATTCACACAGAGCAGTACCACTTGCTCTAGGACCTAACATTCACACACATTCACACACCGTTGGCCATGCCATCGGGAGCAACTCAGGGTTAAGTATCTTGCCCTAGGATACATCGACATGTTGACTGCACGGGTGGGATCGAACCCACAACCTTCTGGTTGAAAGACGACCGCACTCCCTCGCAGCCACAGTCGCCCTACAGTGTTTTTATTTGGGGTTTTCTTCGGGTGTCAGGATCAAAACATTGACTTAAACACGTAATACTGGAGGAAAAGCTCTCTTGGATGACCACTTACTTCTCCAACAGCGTTCACCACTGGCAGGTGTCGCAGGCCCATCGTCCTGAATAGGTTGAACACCTGGGAGATGTGGGTGTTGGGTGACACCGTGTAGGGGCTCGGGTTCATGTAGGGGGTGACATCCTGGAAACACAGAGTTCTTATTTTATTGCTTTTCCACTCTAAAAAGTACTCTTCTATCTTAGTGTTTAAACAGGTCGTACCACTATCATGCGGGGGTTGAGCAGGGCGAGGTCCAAGTCATGGATATCCGGGTAACGTGGGTAATCTTCAGTCATCTCTGCATAGGACAACCTGGGCTGAGTGGCGCTCTGAATGTATCAAAAAAAATCTGTCACAAAAATGATTCCTAAGACCCCGCACTGCTGGCACTAGTTGGCGGCTGCATAAGCCCCTCAGTGAGAGAGATCACTCTGATTGGCTGATCATATTAATGCCTCTGAGGCCAACAGGATTAACGGTGGTCCACTCTGCTGACTTAAAGGCAGTAGCCGGCTCAGTTGTAAAGCTAGAGTGAAGATAGAGATATCATCCCTGGCAATAGATGGTCACCATGGAATTAGGAATCAGCTGCACTGTGCCCTCTGTGTCTGTACTGCCTCAACCTGCTGCTATCTTCTTGCTATGTAATATGTATGTTTTGATCAGCATTCCCAGTATTGTAAGCCACTATGTTGCATGTTTTAACTGATTCTAGTTACTTTACCATTTTAAATTAATTTAGTTTTTAGGGTAACTTTAACATCTGTCCAGGGACTACAGATGAAACGTTTCCTCTTGCCTAACTCTTGCGCATTCACAGAAATGTTAATCGACGTGCACTGTCCCTGTTAAATAATTAAATACAGTACAAATACTGTGTAAGGTCATGCTAGTTGTCAGAGAGGAGGTTAAATAACCTTCAAGGCACATTATTGGCGAGGGAAAAACTGTATGGCTACAACCACAGGGTCCCCTTGACTTCTGACCTCAAGATTTCTGAATGCAAACATTTTCTATGGGTACCCAGCAGCCTCTGCTCTACAGACATGCTCACTTTATGTTAATCACATGCAGCTTTGGGTGTAAACAACTTTTTCTGCACCTAAAGATCCCCTGCCCTCCACAAATTGATAACATGTGGGTCTCTGAGGGTGAAGCAAATCAGTTCCAGAAAAACAGATGGTAGGAAAACAAATCAAAAGGGCACACTCATGTTTCCTCTTCCTCTCAACCCCCACTGCTGAACACTCTAGACCAGGGATGGGCAAATGGCGGCCTCTTTTTTTTAGTACCGATACTGTCCACTAGACTCCTAGTTACGTCGCGAGCTGCGTACATGATTTCAAATACCGCATAATAATCTGTGACACGTTTGTGTGTATTGTGTTTGTTTCCCGGGAAAACACTCACAAGAAACCGATGGACTGTCCACTCCAAGTAGGGAATGAGTCCTTACCCCAAGTGAAGGAGTTCAAGTATCTCGGGGTCTTGTTCTCGAGTGAGGGAACAATGGAGCGTGAGATGGGCCGGAGAATCGGAGCAGCGGGAGCGGTGCTGCAGTCGCTTTACTGCACCGTTGTGACGAAAAGGGAGCTCAGCCAGAAGGCAAAGCTCTCTGTCTACCGGGCCATTTTCGTTCCTACCCTCACCTATGGTCATGAAGGATGGGTCATGACCGAAAGAACGAGATCGCGGATACAAGCGGCCGAGATGGGTTTTCTCCACAGGGTGGCTGGTGTCTCCCTTAGGGATAAGGTGAGAAGTTCGGTCATCCGGGAGGGACTCGGAGTTGAACCGCTCCTCCTTATAGGGGTTTCACAACTACCAATATTTACTAGTCGACGCGTTTTTCAAAATAGCAGTCGACTAGTCGACTAGTCGTTACGTCATAATAAAGACACACAAAGAGAGGTGTACAACTGTATTTTATATTGGAACTCATACAGTTACATTAAACACTGCATTTTAATTTGTGTTATATGGCTGAGTAAATAACAAACAGTAACTGGACTTAGTAAATAACAAACAGTAACTGGACTCACCAAAATCAACAGCAAAAAACTCTGTTTACTGAAATGCCACGTAAATCCAGTGCGCAACAGCGCATTGTGCAACACTTTACGCGCTGTCCTCCACGATAACGTCCACCTTTCCAGGTTTTTGGTTTGCGTTGAGGAACACCAACGCATCGACATGTGAGGGAAGGAGGCTTGACCGCTTTCGGGTGACAGTGTTGCCTGCCAGGGGAAAAACCCTCTCACTCGGGGTGCCTGTGGCTGGAATAGCCAGGAAGCTCCTCGAAAGCTTGGCTAAACGGGGGACGCGGTGCGCGTTTTCTGCCAAACCACTCCAGTGGGTTATCCATTGTGGGGATATGCAGTGTCCGCTGGCAGTAAACCCTAGCTCATCATCCGCATAACTGTAGACCCGTTTTTTCTTGCTGCTCGTCTGCCTCTGTCCTGTGCTGACGCCGGTCCGTTGCTCACTGGTGCTAGCATTACTGCTAGTGCTAGCTGTCGGCAGCGGGTGTCTCATCTTCAGATGGTTGCGCATAGCAGATGTATTTTGTTGTACTTCAGTACAGCTGTACACAACTGACACTTCACTGTGGAGTTGGTTACATCTTTGTTGAAGTACTGCCATACATAAGAATGTCGGACGTGTTTTGAAGCATTTTGCAGCACCTCGTTTACCTCCATTTTTCACACGACTAGTCGACTAGGGCCTACAGCGCCGACTAGTGGTAAAGGTAGTCGACTAGTCGACTAGTTGATTAGTTGGTGAAACCCCTACCTCCTTAGCGTCGAAAGGAGCCAGTTGAGGTGGTTCGGGCACCTAGTAAGGATGCCACCTGGGCACCTCCCTAGGGAGGTGTTCCAGGCACGTCCAGCTGGGAAGAGACCAAGGGGTAGACCTAGGACCAGGTGGAGGGATTATATCTCTTCGCTGGCCTGGGAGCGCCTTGGGATCCCCCAGTCAGAGCTGGTTGATGTCGCCAGGGAAAAGAAAGTTTGGGGCTCTCTGCTGGAACTGCTACCCCTGCGACCCGACCACGGATAAGCGGGAGAAGATGGATGGATGGATGGACACTCACAAGAAACACCGGCTGTTGTTATGCCTGCTGAGATGTCAAGTTACCGCTTGCAATTATGCCTTTACAAGCTTCAGGGTTGTATTTATCATCTGAATTTGGCGAAACAAGTTTAATATTCTGAAAGCCAAGACTTTGTTTATTTGAAATCAGATGAAAACAAACTGTGATTACTATACGATTTTCATTCATAATTTCAGCGGGAGGGAGGGGGAGCGGCGCTGAGGAACAGAGTGGGGGTTGACAGGTGTCTGTGTTGACATTCCCCTTATTGTGGAATAAGGGGAATGCAGATCTATGAGGATTTTCTGATATTTTCACAACAACAGGGTGACTGGAATTAAGCTAAGTGGAGAGTGGTGTGAAATTGTAACAAGTAATTTGACTGTCTTATTTGTGCAAACATATTATAAGCATCATGTTCAATAATAATAATGATAATAAATAACTTGAAATTATATAGCGCCTTTCATAACCTCAAGGTCGCTTTACAAAGAAAGAAGAATTCAATGAAGAATACAGACAAACTTCAGCTGGAGAGTTATTACCAGAACTTACGTGCAGTGTAATGCTGGCTGTAGGCTTTGCGGTGTTTTCAATTATGATTTAATGCCTTTGTGTGTTTGTGTGCAACTGACCGACTGATTCTCGGTGTAGCAGACCCCTGATGAGCAGGGTGACCAGCTGGGAGCGCAGGATGAGGCCGTGGAAGGTGAGCGGTCTGAAGCGCTCCTCCATGCTCCACTCCTCACTGGGGGACTGGTCGGGGTACAGGTTGGGGTACGGAGCATGCCTTCACGTGCACAACACAACCATTTCATTAAAACCCACAAAATGTTTTCTCTCAGTGAACGCATACATATATGATTTATATAAAATGTGTGAAATGTATAGTGATACAGTTGTAGGGTCATACTGTGAACCCTGAAATGTTGAGTACCACAACGTTTTATGTTAGAAATGTATAGTAGCAAACTCCCGGATGCTAGCTTGCATATGTTGAGCAATTTGCAATATCTGACATATATATCTGGCCATGTATGTAATCCCGGTGGGCTGATTTTGATAAATTTGGGGTTGATTTTTTTGTTTTAGGAGACTCAAAACTACAAATTTCAGAAAATTGATTCACACACACCGAAAATGTTCCAACTCGGGCAAGCCATTTTTTAACTATTGTCTGCATATGGGAATTAATGCTAATTAATGCAACTTGTGCTCTTGACCTAACAATCAACATCGGCACCTCAGTTGTTTCCCCGACTCAGACTGCAAGGAATCTGGGTGTGACCCTAGATAACAACCTGTCCTTCACTGCAAACATCGCTGCTACAACCCGTTGCTGCAGATACACGCTTTACAACATCAGGAAGATACGTCCCCAGCTGACACAGAAAGCGACTCAGGTTCTGGTCCAGGCTCTCGTCATCTCACGCCTAGACTACTGCAACTCCCTCCTGGCTGGTCTACCTGCATGTGCCATCCGACCTCTGCAGCTCATCCAGAATGCAGCGGCTCGTCTGGTCTTCAACCTTCCTAAATTCTCCCACACCACTCCGCTCCTACGCTCGCTTCACTGGCTTCCGGTAACTGCTAGAATCCACTTCAAGACACTGGTACTTGCTTACCATGCTGCGAATGGATCTGGCCCTTCGTACATCCAACATGGTTAAACCGTACACCCCAGCGTGCACTACGCTCTGAATCAGCCAAACGACTCGCTGCCCTCGCTGCGAGGGGGACCCAAGTTCCCAACGGCGAAAACACGTGGGTTTGCTATCCTGGCTCCAAGATGGTGAATGAGCTCCCATTGACATCAGGACAGCAGATAGCTTGCACATCTTCCGGCGCAACTGAAAACTCATCTCTTTCGACTCACTTCGAGCGATAGAACTATTAACGAAGCACTTATATACTAATAAAGGACTGGCTTTCTAAAGCCAGTTGAGTAGCACTTGAAATGTTTGGCTCTATGAAACCTGATGTACTTATATGATTCTGTTTTCTTCAAGGTTGTGTCTTCCTGGTCGAATGTACTTATTGTAAGTCGCTTTGGATAAAAGCGTCAGCTAAATGCAATGTAATGTAATGTAATTATGCAAATTACCAACAAGTTAGCATCCAGCAGTTTGTATGTGCTGGGGACCCTACTATACATTTCTATCATAAAACCTTGGGGTACTCAACATTTCATGGCAAGAAGACTAAAATGTGAAAAGCCAGTAAATGATAGAGTGCTCTTGTGAACTGGTGCAGCTGGGTGTTTACAGTCACAACACTTTGTCTGTGGGGGTGGTACAGGAACATGTTAAACTTGTGTAGTGTGTGACCTACCTCCTCTCTAGCATCTGCTGCAGCAGGTCCCCCCCTCCCCCCTCCCCCCGGCGGCGATGCGCTCCTCACAGACGTTCCTCAGCTCGCTGGACGGGTATGACTTCATAGACTGGCAGCGCCGCCGCTGCTCCCCCGCACGGGACAACACACTGGATTTCTGGATGGGAATTTGAAGAGCATGTTTCCTCAGTTTGCTGGATCCATTCCAACAGCATTCACTTTGGTTCCATTATCCAGTCAACGGTGTAAAATAAGAATTGAAAATATCTTTCTCTTGGATTGATTACATTAGAACATTGAATGTATTGTTTAACATGTGTGTGCTTTGATTGTAAATATAGTACAAATCGTTCATGGTATAAGTGACTTATAACAACTTGCTACTAAGAATAAAGCTAAATCAATTTTTATTTAGATATTGCCTTGGAGCAGAACTAGTCATTGATGTGCAACATTGTTCACACTTACCAAGTGCAATTAAAAACACCTATGAGAGTGTACACACTTCCATTGTCATTTGGTATAAATGACAAAATTGGTTCTTAATTATACCGGAAAAAAACCGGACAAAACCTTAAGATGGGAGGATCAGTGCTGTTCCATTACTCTAGCTCCAAGTTAAAGTTAAAGGAAATGTGAAAAGGGCTAATTTGGGTAGTAAGGACATGTTCAGCTGCTGCTATACTCAGACCTCTACCTCCCTCCACTGGTTACCCCACTGAATACACTGTGGCGTGTTAATAGTGAATGTAGTGCTGCCAGCAGTATAACTGAAGTGTTCCCTGTTTTCTCTGAAGAGAACAAAGACAGGCAGGATATTGGTCTCCGTGTACAGTGGAACTGTTGCATGTGTTAAAGATGTTCCATTCTCGACTGACCTTAAAGCGGATGTTGTTGCTGACCAAGATGTTGCCCTTCATGAAGTCCTGCTCGTTATACCGGTTCTCTGTCACCACAGGGAAGGCGTTGTAGACAGTGGTGCGCAGGATGCTGACCAGAGACTGGACCCGTGTGGGGGTACACATAGGTCAGGTTGGGCTCCATGATATCATTAGCTGTCAGCCTGGATAAAGGAGGGAAGGAACAAAGAGACTTCCTGTTTAAGGTGATGATAGAACAACTCCTGACAGACTGAGGATCCAAATGATAACAAGGATAAGCATGGATAACAATCAGCTGGTTCCAGGGGCGCCGTGAAAGGTTAGGACAATTCTAAGGGCCCGTGACAAGCAGGGGGCCCCAAAATGTTTAGAACATTAAGAAAAATGTTTAAGTACCCTTTCATCAATAATTAACATTAATATAAAGTTATATTGCGTAGTAGGCTACTCACTAAACTTACGATTCATTTAACTTATTTTCTTCCAAAAGTTAATTATCCAAAGCCTCTGTACACCCCCTCTATTTACATGTAATTGTTTGGTCCTGCGACTCCTGCCTCCAAACGCAGAAACGGCACTTTCTAGCAAGAGTGAAAGCATGTGAGGAGGGATGCTAGTAGCCTACGTACGTGTGTTGTAACACACAATACAATTCTCCAGTCTGGGAAGATCTCACTCGACATAGAGACTTAAAGGAAGAGATACAGGCTCTTAGAGATGCATGGGAGTCACTCCTGTCTGAGGCAACACTGATTGCTGCTCAAATGGATGTTGCACCTGAATTTAGCATGGAACACTGTCGCAAGAGGAAAAGGAAGAGATTCCATGATGATACCTCTCAAGAGAAGACAGATCAAGACAGTGCAGCAACGGTGTTCCGCAACACAGTGTTTTTTACTGCAATGGACAAGATCATATGCGACTTAGACACTAGGTTCCGCACCACTCAATGTATTGTGGAAGAATTTTCTGCTGTTCTGAAAGTTGGGCAGATTGCTGAGGATAAAGTCCCTTCTGTTTGCCAACCACTGATCAGGAAGTATTCAAGAGATCTTACACCTGAGTTTGAAAATGAAGTAAGACACCTGAACACTGTGTATGCTGCCACTTTCCACACTAACTTGTCCCCTCTTGGTCTCCTGAATGCAATTCACAAGATGCAGCTGCAAAGCATTTTTGGAGAATTGTGCATTGTTTTACGTATATTTTGCACACTGCCTGTGACTGTTGCAGGAGGTGAGAGAGCTTTCAGTAAGCTAAAATTGATAAAAAACTATTTGAGGTCCACTATGTTTCAGGACAGGCTTTGCAGTCTTGCCATGCTGTCCATTGAAAGACAGTTAGCTAGAAAGCTGGACTTCAAGGACTTAATCAGTGACTTTGCCTGTAATGCCCCTTTCACACCAACGCGTTTTCAGCTCCGGCTCGGAGCTGGAGCCTGAAAAGTGCCGGTTTTTCCTGTTCACACCGCAGCGGCGCCGCCTCTTAACTCCGGAATCCGGTTCACTTCCAGCTCCAAAAAATGGTTGGTCTAGAGGCAAGAGCTTCGGAGCTAAGAGGTGGCGTCGCTTACGTCTCTCTTACGTCGAGGCGTGCAGGAAACTAAACCCACCTCCCCTGAACATGGGTCGACTGTCATGCCTGCCTACAAGCAGTAGTGCTTATAAACACACTTTATAAAGTCAGGCAACACTAACCAGGCTTCGTGTGATTCTGTTTATTTGTACCTTACTTTGACCATCCGTTCACTGTTATTGATCATTGTGGAGAGAGGCAGACGTGTTGTTTTGTATTATAGCAGCTATCGGATGGAATCAATACATGGGCTGCACAGGTTGTCGTGTCCGACTATCACAAGTAGAATCATAATAAAAATATGCCGGTAAAATGTGCCTGAAGAAAACGGTTTATGCCACAATAGGATAGCAATAGCAAGTAGTCAGTTTAGCTTCGGTTGCTATGCTAACATCACCCATTTTATACCAGAGAAACTTTCATAACAGCGTTGTGATACCAAACAGCGTCAATTCAGACTGACACACATTCACTTAAGGGGAACTGGGGATATGTATCAGCTGCTTGTGTGAGTCGGACAGTGAATACTTTAGAGCGGCCGCTGCAGTGTGAGCTAACCGGGAGCTAACGGGAGAATAAACTCCCGTGGAAGAGCAGCCAACACTGCAGCGGTCGGTAAATGCCGTAGAAACACATTAATAAACAATGAACCACGGCACTCTGGAGCAAAGTATAAGGTTGGAGAAGTCGTTATTTAATTGAATCTGGCTTCGTGTGATTAAAAGCAACACGATTATCGACCCGACGCAGTTCCCCGTTGTTGTTGTGAGCGCCGTAACGCCGTTGACGGTGAAGTCATGACGCAGCAGCGGCAGCACCCGTCGGGCTCTGGGCGGTGTGAACAGAGCGGGAGCAGAAAAGGGAAACCGGAGCTGAACCAGAAAAGCTCTAGCTCGGAGCTAGAAAGGGAAAAGCGCTGGTGTGAAAGCCGCATAAGAAGGCTAGGCGCTGGGCTCTTGGTGAGTAAGGCTGAGCAAGGACTCTGATGCATGTTGAGAAAAAGACTGAGAACAGGTATTAGGCTCTGATTTGGCACCACCATCAGGCCTTTTCATTTCCATTTCCGTTGTGTTCCACATTAATACCTGCTTATTTTGTAGTTGGGATGTATATTTAATTTAAAAATCTGCTGCTTATGTTATTTTTTGTGTTATAGCATTTTATAAATGATTTTGTTGCTGGTAATGTTCACTTTATTTTAATTTAAGAGGTCATGTATATTTAAGTTATATTTATTTGGATTTATGCATTCATGTTTAGAATGTTCCATTCATAAATGTTATTATTAAAAAGGCATTTATACCATAACAGATGACTATTGAGATCTATTGTCAGGAATGTTAGTCTTATATCAAATAGTGAATTCTACTGCAGCAGAATGTTCCACGTCTGCACAGTGTTATATTTTCACAGCTCAGTGTCAGTAAATATTGTGTGGTTAGTTTTGGACTACAATATAGATGCAAGCCTGTACAGGTAGAGTTATTTAAAGCATACATGAGTGGGTTGGGTTCTGGAGATGTGGTTAGCAATTGTGCTTGGTTGGGGTGGCCTGGGCCTGGTGGTGGGGGGGGGCAATTTGATATATTTTCATGGGGCCCAAAATCCCTGGCTGCGCCCCTGCACATGACATGTACCATTAAGCTAGCCATGCTAGGCAAAGCTAACATAGCCGCGCAGCTAGATCAAGGGTACAAGATCTCAGTTATGAAGCACAACGAAGAAGTAGACAAGAACAGGCACGTCTTGTTGAAGATTATTGATTGTGTGACATTTTGTGGGGGCTTTGAACTGGCTTTGCGTGGCCATGATGAGACTGACACGTCCGACAACCCCGGCGTTTTTCGGGGTTTAGTTAACCTGCTGGCCTCGTTAGATAGCGTCTTAGAGGAGCACCTTAAAACGGCTACCGTTTTCAAAGGCACCTCAAAGACGGTGCAAAATGAACTGTTGGACTGCATATTAGCAGTTACTAAAAATTACATTATGGAGGAGGTAAAAAATGCCAGTTATTTAGCTATTCAGGCGGATGAGACCACTGATATTTCCACCCACTGCCAGTTAGTCCTTGTGCTACGCTACATCGATCCCCATAACAACGTCCAGGAGCGTTTTTTTGAGTTCATCCCTCTTCAAAATGCGAATGCTGACACAGTTGCCACCGCGCTGATGGAGAGGCTGGGCACTATACTCCCCGATGGACAACAGGGCAAACTAATCGCCCAAGCCTATGACGGTGCAGCGGTGATGAGGGGAGCTAAAGGTGGAGTTCAGCGGAAAGTGAAGGATGTTTACAGTAGTGCGCACTACATCCACTGCTATGCGCATCAGCTGAACCTCATTATGCAGCAGGCAACATTCCACATCCCCAAAATAAGTGCATTTTTTTCAGACCTTGGTGGATTTGCTGCATTTTTCTCCAGGTCTTTTAAGAGAACTGCGATCCTGGATCAAGTGGTGGCACACAGACTTCCTGGCACTTCCACAACACGATGGAACTTTCACAGTCGTGCTGTTAACACTGTGTATGAGCAGAAGGAGAACATCCTGAAGTGTTTCAAGACAATCAGAGACTCAGGTGACTTTGATC